GCCTGGCTCGCGTCCCTCCCCGCGCCTCTCCTTCGGTCTCCAATGGCAACCTCAGCCAGAGAGTATGTTAACACGCAGTTTGAAAGCAGCTATTGAGGAAGGGGAAGATGTTAGCTGAGAGGATTGGGATCGAAAGCCCTCGTTATATCCTGTCCTTGTGGATGATGGGCCTGGGGGGGACGGCGCTCGGCACCACAAACCAGTTCCCTTTAAGCTGTTCAAGGAACTGAAGGATGCCGTCTCAAAATACGGCCCCTCCTCACCCCATGTAAAACATTTGCTGGCTAATGCCATAGCTACTTGGCCGTGGACTCCATTTGATTGGAGAGAAGTCGCCGGCACGGTTCTCTCCCCAGGTCAAGCAGTAGCACTATCAGCCTTAGTCAAGCGAGAAGCAGAAACTTGGGTGGAAGAGAAAAATGTAGTCAATACAGAGGAAGGTATAGAGATTATCACAGGTACAGGTAGATGGAAAAAACCAAGTGACCAGGTCCTTTACGACCCCCAAGTATTTGCTGCAATACAGGAATGCCACCTATGGGCATTCGGGAAGATAGAAACCCAGGGATCAGAAAGGGAAAAACTAGTAGGGCTTAAACAACGCCCGAATGAGAACCCCGCTGATTTTGTCAGCAGAGTCCAGCTCCTTGTGCAACGCATCCTGGGCCACTCCCCAGGAGCGACTATGCTCATACCCCAGCTGGTGAAGAAAGGCCTAAGACCAGAATATCTCTCGGCCCTCACAGGCTTAGGCCCTTCTCCTACTTTGGAAGAGCTGGTAGAGAGGCTCTTGGAAACCCCCTCCAAAAACAGGGAATATCAGGCTATGGCTATGGCTATTGCGCAGGGCATCTCGCAAGGCATGCAAGGCCAGAGGAATTCCAAGGTTTGTTACAATTGTGGGAAGGCAGGTCACTTTAAAGCCCAGTGTAGACTTGCCAAAAGAAGCCCAAACAGCCAGCCTACATGCTTCTACTGTGGAAAGGCCAGCCACATAGCAAAATAATGTAGACAAAAGGGAACCAACATTGGGTCGGGAAACGGGAAGCGGGGCCCTCCCCATGGGGGCCACGGAATGAAGGTTTTCCCTGTTGAGGTGAACCCCGTAAACGGGGCGGGTCCGCAGGCTCCTCCCTCCAACTTCTAGCAGGCATACCAGCAGGAACTCCAACAACTGAGGTCCTAACCTGCTCTGCCCGGTCATCAGTAGGAGGGAAAGGGAAAGAGGAAGTTATCGAGCCTTGGACTACGAGTCCAATCGAGATCCCCGCTGCCTCTTGCCCTCGGTTGGTAATAGGCCCTTCAGGCTATTCTCCCTTCATAACTCATACCCAAGTGCTCCCACCGGGAGGTACCACCATTTATCTTACCAACCCTCATAGTTACCCTGTTCCCTTAACACTGGGACAGGTGGTCGGCAGAGGCATACCCCTTCCCCAGGGGGAGGGGAAATACATCCCTCAAGTCAATTGGTGTTCTGAGGTGGGGCGACAACGTCCCATGTTAATTATAGAAGTAGAGGGACGGCCAGTGAGGGGCATGGTAGATACTGGGGCCGACGTGTCAGTTATAGACGACGCCCAATGGGACTCGTCCTGGCCCGTGCCACGGTTCTCCACCCCCGTACTCGGTGTGGGCGGCCACCAACAAGCCCAGAAAGCAGAGCGCCGCCTAGCCTGGCGCTATGAAAATCAGGAAGGTTTTCTCCAACCCTTGCAGATCTCTGGCTTAAGTTCCGCTTTATGGGGAAGAGACTTGTTAGAACAATTGCATTTATATCTTACAACTCTTGAACATTTGGCAACAAACTGCTCGGGGCCACCGCCATGGTGAGCTGTAAAATAAACTGGAAAACCCACTCACCTGTGTGGGTTGAGCAGTGGCCCCTATCGGTAGAGAAGCTCACTGCTCTTCAGGACCTTGTTAATGAGCTACTTGTTCAGCAAAAAATAGAACCCACAACCAGCCCCTACAATTCTCCTATATTTGTAATAAAAAAGAAAGCAGGAACTTGGAGAATGCTCGTCGATTTGAGGGCGGTGAACAAATGCATGGTCCCCATGGGCCCCCTGCAAACAGGACTACCTACACCCTCATTCATTCTGAAGGGATCGTTCATTAAGATCATTGATATCAAAGACTGTTTCTATAGTATTCCCCTACATCCTGAGGATAGAGAGAAATTTGCTTTTACCGTTCCCTCAATTAATTTCCAGAATCCATCTTTAAGATACCAATTCACAGTCCTACCACAGGGCATGGCAAACAGTCCAACCATGTGCCAAGCCTTTGTTGCTGCCATATTGTAGCCCTTGTGGAAGAAATACCCCACAGCAATCATCCTCCATTACATGGATGACATCCTTATGGCCACACAAGACCCCAACGCCCTTGAGAACCTGACCAAAGACGTTCTAGACACTTTGCAGTCTCAGGGCCTCCAGGTGGCCCCCCATAAAATCCAGGATGCCGATCCTTTTCAATACCTCAGCCATACACTTAATGACGGCCGTATTTCTCGCCGGGCACTGGAAGTGGACCTAAAGAAATGTACTACCCTTAATGACTTCCAAAAATTGATAGGGTCTATACAATGGATGCAATCCACTGTGCCTATCCCTGATTCGGACATGTATCCCCTATATGACATTCTAAAAGGAGACTCCTTGCTCACTTCTCCCCAGCGGTGGACCCTGGCCACAAGACAGGCCATAAAAAGTATCTTACAGAGGTGTACCGCCACCATAGTGCAGGTTGACAGGACGGAACCGATTTACGCAGCGGTTCTATCTAACGCCACTTACATTGGTTGCCTGTATCAGAAGCATGGGGTCCTAGAGTGGCTCTACGCAGAAAGGAGTAAAAGGAGTCTCCCTGACAAGCACCACCTGTTGGCACAATTTCTTACAACCCTTAAGGATCGCTGTATGCAGATCTTTGGCTGCTACCCATTTCTCAACATACCTGCTTCAGAAGCTTCGCTATGCTACTTCACAGACTCCAGCCCGGAGTGAGCAGCCATTCTCACCACCTGTGAGCTTATCTCTCTTCCACTACCTCCTGTGCTTCGTGGTTGGGAGGCGCTCTCTTTACGCCCTCCTCACCGCTCTATCACCACAGAACCTGTTGACGGTCCAATCGTCTTCTCGGATGCTACAAAGGCTCAGCGAGTCGCTGTATATATCCCTGAGAAGCGCATCCTGCAGGTCTACGATACCGAGTACTCCTCTGCGCGGAGGAACGAGCTTTTTGTTATTGCCATGGCTCTGAAGCTTCTACCGTTAGAGCCCTTTAACCTTATAACTGACAGTCTTTACTGTGCCAATGTGCTTCGCGACCTCCCTAACGCGCTCATCAACGTCCGCTCTAGTCCTATTGCTTCTCAGCTAGCGAGAGTCCAAGCTCTCGTTTTGTCGTCCCTTTCCTATCTATGTGTTGCATGTTCGTTCCCACACGTCTACCATCGGCCCTATTTTCCAGGGCAATGACGTAGCAGATCGTGCTTTATTATGCCCTTTGCAGACCGAGGCCTGTAACACACATGCGAAATACCATTTATCCGCCCAGTCCTTGCGTCACCTGCATGGCCTTACTAAGGAGGAAGCACGGCAGATAGTAAAACGGTGCGTTGGGCATGCCCCTTTTCGTCCTCCTCCGAGGGACATAGCCGTCAACCCTCAGGGGGATAAGCCTAACGCCCTGTGGCAAATGGACGTCACCCACCTTGGCCGTGCCCTCATACATGTCTCTATAGACACCTACTCGGGCTTTCTCTTTGCAACCGTACAACCCGGTGAAGCAGCCCGCCACGTAACCACCCATCTTCTCTGCAGTTTTGCACATTGTGGGGTTCCCAGCGCCATAAAAACCGACAATGGGCCCGCATACACCTCACGGGCCTTTGCGCTGTTCTGCCAGGAATTTGCTATCACTCACGTCACTGGCATCCCCTATAACCCCACTGGCCAGGCCATCGTTGAAAGGGCCAACCGCACTTTGAAAACTCTCCTTCTTAAACAAAAAGGGGGAGTTGGCGGTCGCCTTATGCAGGGACAGCTGGCACAGGCCGTCTACACCCATAACTTCCTGCAGTTCAGGGATGACCACACTACCCCGGTTCTGCGCTTCTATGCAGGGACTAAGGTACCCATGAGCCATCCACACCATAAATACGCCCATAAACCACATCAAGCATCCCCGAAAACCTGCTTAACAGGAGCACGGGTGATGTGGAAAAACCCAGAGGGTCAGTGGCAGGGTCCAGGTACTGTCACAGTGAGGGGGCAGGGTCATTTGTGTGTTCTGCCAGATGGTGAAACAGAGGGACGAGGCATCTGGGTCCCCACCAGATGGACTGCGGAGATCCAAGAAGCGGAAAGAAAGGAAGCAGAAGCGCGGCAGCCAAGGACGCAGACGGCCGAGAGCGGAGAGGCAGAAGACTGCCTCCTGCTGACGAGCGCTGACCTGGGCCTCCTTCCCCCTGTGGGTGGGGGCTCCGGGGATGCGTGCATTTATCAGTACTTGGATAACTGTGGTAATTCTAGACTGGCAGCCTTAGAACAGACTGTGCTATGGATAGGTGATGAACTGCAGCTCACCCAACTCTATCTGCAACTCCAATGTCATTACAAGTATGCGCCTCTCTGTGTTACCCCGCTTCGGGTTAACGCTACTAAGGACACCCACTTCGCTGGCGATTGGCCAAAGGTGAGGGCACCCCTCCAAGAGGTGCTTCTTGCCGAAAATGCCTCCAGCGCATACACAACATCTCTGCACACTTTGGGGAGGACCGTGCCAAGGAGGCCAAGGACTTGACCCAGTGGCTTGAGGACCTTGTGAGCTTCCAATGGCTCACTGCCTTCCTGGGGCCCTTGGCTTTCCTCATCCTCCTCTGCCTTTTCCTGCCCTGCCTGTTGCGCTGCATTTGTTCTATGCTGCGCCGCGCCATCCTTGACGCCAAGGCCGACCTTCGTGCTCTTATCTGGACCCCGAGGGACCACCCTGCCCAGAGGACCTCACCTCTGTAAACAAAAAGGGGGAGTTATTAGGGCCCAGCTCTGGACCATGGCCTCCTGTGGGGTAGTGAGATGCCTGGAGGTGCTACACCTGCCTCCTCGGAGGTACTGGGAACGCCTCAGTAACAGCACAGGGCTCCACCTACGGGGAGGAACATGGGAGGAGCTCGGGCAAGTTCCACCCACGGGGAGGAACAGAGTCAGGGCATATAAGAGCAGGGCTCCGGGGTGTCGGGGAGGAGTCGAGTCGGAGCCGGAGAGGAGCCGGGACCTTGGGAGGCAGGAGAGCATGTAACCAATAAATCGTGTGCAGCTGCCAACTCGGGTGTTCTGTCTAGTCATTCCCCTCCACCCTCGGAGGGGCCGGAGACGTCCGAAGACCAGGAAGGGTAAGTATCCAAGCGATGGTCTGGGTGTAGAAACCCCGGGCACAGACCGCCTTCGGGTAATATCCTTTCTTATCAGGCAATTTTTGCTCCTGGGGTTTTGTGTACTACTTAGAGGGGAAGTGACTTGGAACTCACTCACTCTGGTGATCTCACTCCCCACACTGTCAAAGGCAGCTGCTAGTCCTATGGCAACCCTCAGACTTCCATGATACCAAAGGGCATCCTAAGGGAAATCACTGAAAAAGTGCATTTCCCTTCCCTGGGTACCTAAGTAACCGAATCCTGTAGGACCTAATACTTTGCCTCCAAGTCAAGTCAGATCAAAAATGACTAAGTCAGCTTCAGGCTCTGGGTCAGGTGTCACCCCTCACTCACTTTCTTTCTACTTTCTCGCCTTCTTGAGAAATCCCTTTGATTCCTTACCTCCTTTTATTCCCTATGTTTCGGTTTGAAGGGCAAAGAGGTGGGCAGTGCCACAAAAATGCTTCTGCTGCAAGAGGGACGCATGCTGCAGACCCTACACCGATCCCTGGCCAAGAGCATCCCAGAGTCCCTGAAGGTGAGTAGGGGTGGAAGCTGCCGGAGTCAAAAGGAGATGTGGCCATCCCTGATGACTCCCTGCAGCCAAGCAGGAAGTAGAGGAATGTGGGCCTAGAGTAACTACTCTTGACAGCAGGCAGATCCACTTCCTATCTCTGAGCCTCAGTTTCCTCTTCTGCCAAGTGACATTTTGCCCTTTCCGTTGTTCCATCCCATCCCTTTTCATCTCCTCACACTAGCACTCTTCTATCCACCCCTCTGACAGCGCAGATGCTTTCACTCATGGCCGCTTTCCCCCAGAATTCTTGTGTATGTCATGTCATAAAACCTCCAGAGACAATTTACTCAACATGCTAAAAGACCTTTTAACATTTCAAGGGCATATGAAGAACTGGGGCTTTCCTCCTGTTATCCTTCACTCATACTAATGGGAGCATGAATAGAGCTTTGGCAAAGCACTTTACACATGCGATCTCATCTGATCTTCACAAGGATCCTGTAAATGTGGATTTTATTATAATTTTTATTTTTAAATTGAGGAAACTGAGGCAGACAGAAATTATACGGCTTATCCAGTATCATACAGTTAGTGTGTGAGGAAGGATTTAAGCTTAGGACATCCTGATTCAAAGTCCTACCCAATCTATTGCACCATCTAGTGGCCTTCAATACCTAAGTGACCCACTTCCTTTTCCAATCTATTTCCTAAAGGTTTCCTTTTGCATTCATGGTATCATTGGAAACGTGCTGCTGCTTATTTGCTTATTTATAATAGTCGCTCTTTCTAGTGCCTTTCAGTTCACCCACGATTTTTTATAATGCTCAATTTATAGCCACGTAGCATCATTAGAAGAAAATGTTACTTTTTTTTCAATTCAACAAACATTTATTTAAAAATCTACTACATATCAGATGCTATGCTAGGCTCTGATGTTACAAAAACAAAAATGAAACAATCCTAGCCTTTTAGAAGTTTACATTCTGCTAAGAAAATATAGCATGTATTGTACTTGTGGGGTACAGAAAAGTAAACATGAAATAAATTTGGGAGGGAGAGAGACGGCAGTCAGAGACACAAAGAGACAGAGACAGAGAATCAGAGGCAGATAGAGAATAGTTTAGAGGATTAGTAAAGATGGCTTGGGGGAGTAAGCATTTAAAATAACCTTTAAAGGAAGACAAAGATTCTCAGAAGCTTAGGAGAAAAAGGAGGTCTTTCAACAGATGTAGGATGACACATGCAAAGGTACAGAAGATAAAAAATGAATTCCTAATTTAAGGAACAGCAAGTAATCCAAATTGTCTGGAACATAGTTTTAGGGGTCCATACCTGTGATTTCATCGGTATAGGGAATTCCCAATGTGGAAACATCTTCTGCCAATGTGGTTTGGGTCTGTAACTTATTGTTTTACAGGATTCCCTGGATTACTGGGAGTTTAAGTGGCTTTAAGGTCTCCTAGCTAGCAAGTGTGAGAATCAGGACTTGAATCTGTGACCCTGATTCCAAGGCCAGCCAAGATGCTTCTCTGGAAGGAATGCTGAAAGAAGAGGACTCATGTGAAATAGTGATGGAGAGGCACTTGGAGCAGTATTGTAGAAGGCTGCAAATGCCAGGCTGAGTAGTTTGGATTGATCTTCAATGGGGAGCCACTGAAATAACCGGACAGGGGAGTGAAGCAGCCTGATGATTTTAGCATCTATATGGAGGATGGCTTGGAGAGAGGGAAGCCGATGGCGGGGAGACCAGTTTGGAGCCTATTACAATAGTTCATGTGATAGATGAATGAGGATAGTAGACTGACTGGAGAAATGAATGGAATCTATGGGTAGAATGGATAGGATCTACAGTTGATTGGATACGGGTGGTGTGGAAGAGAGAAGATAACGCATATTATAAAACCGGGGACAAGGACGCTGGTAGTACCCTTTACAAAAATAGTGAAGTTTGGAGAGGAACTGGGATTAGGGTGGAAGTTCAGTTTTGTTTGGCCCATGTTGATGGGATATTCAAGTAGTAATCTCCAGCAGTAGTTGACAATAAAGAACTGAAGCCCAGGAGACACATTAGACCCGCATAAATATAGCAACAAATAAAGAGATGAGTTTATGTATCAGGGAGTAGCTTAGCACCACTTAACATGCTGGGCAAATTCTCAAATACAACACAGCCCAGTCTCTTACTTCTCTTCAAACCTGAGCCCAACTTAGCATCTATCTGCATACCCTCTCCAAGAAATAAGCCTTTTGGGGTTAACTGAACACACAAGAGCTATGGAAATGGAGGCTATTGTTATTACCAATATTCTCCTACATCACAGGTGTAGACATCATGTAGATGAGACATCTTCATCCCATGTAGAAATTCCAGGCTCTTACTAAGAAATCTGCAGTACATGTAGAATGGTGGGAAGGAGGAAGAGAAAACGAAAAATGTTATTTTCTGAGATATTAGTAGAATATGAATAAATACAAGCATCAATGTCTCCATTTGTTGCTGAAACCACAATTGGCCTTGGAATGGTGCTATCATCTTCCTTATCCACACGTCCCACTTCCACTTTACTTTGACAACTTTGATGAAATGATGAAGCTTCTCCAGCCTCACCTACCTCTGTCTTCTTACTGCAGGTGTATGGCTCCATTTTCCACATAAATCAGGGAAACCCTTTCAACTTGGAGGTTCTAGTGGACTCCTGGCCTGAGTATCAAACCGTCATTACCCGGCCTCAGAAAGAGGTAAGATCAAGCAATTGACAAGCTTTTATTATCCAACTGTTACGTGTTGGGCACTGGGAATACAAACACAGAAATGAGAAAAGCTCCTGACTTCAAGGAGCTTCCATTCTATTGAGATAGATAACTTGCATATGTAAGTAGATATCAAATATATTCAAAATGAAGACAAGGAGATATGAAGGGAGATCACTATTACTGGGGGAGATCAGGAAAGACTTCATGTAGAAGATGGCAGCTTGAACTGAGTTTTGAAAGAAACTTTGAAAGGATTCTAAGAGTCAGAGGTGAGAAGAGAGAACATTCCAGGTATGAGAGACAATCTGTACAAAAGTTAAGGAAGTGGAGTGAGGCCAGTTGATGGAGAGAGAAGGCTGAAGACCAGAGCCACTGACAATGCTTCTTCCACCTAAAACCCATCAGATCTTCTCTAGAAAGTATAGAGAGATGGGGGGAGGGGAACCATTAAAACACCTCTTAAATTCTTGGTAAGAGTTGATGACAGTATCTCTCATTGGGTATTTCTCCTCCCACATCTGAGGACTTCCTATAAATGTGCCATTAAGCCTTCCTCTTGGATGCTACCTTGACCAGGTAATCATTCTGGTCTCTTACTTTCTTGCCATGCTCTTTTCTAGTAATTTACTTGGCTTTCTCCTTTGTAAGAACAGTGGATGATTCTTTAGCCTCCATTATTTTTTTTTTTGTTTTTTGTTTTTTTAATTATTCTAGATCAATCTCATTATCCTGGAAATAGTACAAGGTATGACTGTGAAAGTCTTTTTCTTTTAAAAAGAAAATCAGTAGCACTGTTTTAAACATGTCTTGCAGTCATCTTCAGGGTCTCTCAAGAACATTAAAGTGTTTAGAGCTGCAAGGAACCTCAGAGATCATCTCATCTAGCCCTTCCCAGATGGGGAAACTGAGACCCATAGAGAGGTAGTGACTTGGGCAAATTCACACAGGTAGTAAATGGCACAACCATCAGTCAGACTCAAACCCCTCTGAATCCAAATACTCTTTTTAACTACTCCATTCAGTTTTCTAAGCATTGACTATCTAGTATGTGCTGGAAAATGGAACACGGGATTTCTATCATGAGAAGTTGGGAAATCCAACATTCTCCAGAGCCCTCAAAACTGCCAAGATTTTCTAGCCAATGGATAGGGGTAGGGAGGAGACCTGGTCAAAGCTAGGCAAAGACCTCCCTCTCTCTCCTTCCCCCAAATGATTCCTCCTCACAGGTGTGCTGGAAAGCTATCCTTGCCCCACCTCTTTGAGTCAATCCAGTTCTAACCAGCTTGGTAATGACTTCTGAAGTACAGTCAAATTTCCTCAGCCTATCTGAACACAATTCTCAAGAAATATTACTTCAGTTTGAAGTACTTTTCACACTTATGATATCAGGTAGTTAAAGTATCAATGCTAAAATAGGGTGGGGTGCTTTAGACCCCTCTCTTACATTGCATTAACTCTAAGTGTGAGCCTGACCAAATCCTGTACAAGCAAAGGAAGCCTCAAACCCTGAAAGTGCTAAATCATCAATGTTTCTTTCATACTTCAAGGGATACATAATCTCAGCTTCATGAATCCTCCCTCCAATAGCGTCAACCGTTGCCTATGATGTCCCATCAATTATCTAGAAAAGATGTCTTTTTTAAAAAGACCTTTTTAAGACACTACTACTTTTCTCTAAATGCTTTAACACCCCATGGTTGTCAGTACAATATTTGGGCTTTCCATCCATTATCCCTTCTTTTCACTATGTGTCCAAATCATCTCTTTTTTCCTGATCATACATTTATTAGATATTTTTAATAAGAAAGCAGGGTAGCTAGGTGGCTCAGTGGATAGAGGGCCGGGCCTGGAGTCAGAAATTCCCAAGTTCAAATCTGGCCTCAGACACTTACTAGCTATGTGACCCTGAGCATGTCACTTCACTCTTTTTGCCTCAATTTCCTCATCTGTAAAATGAGCTGGACAAATAAATGGCAAACCGCTCTGGTACCTTTGCCAAGAAAACCCCAAATGGGGTCATGAAAAGTTGGACATGACTGAAATGATTAACCAACAAAGATGAGAAAGAATATATGTAGCATAATACATAGAGGATTGTTCTTGGAGTCAGGAAAATCTGGGTCCAAATACTGTTAGAATCTCGGACATGTACTGGCTTTTGCCCCAAGTCATGTCATTTAAATGTTCAGAACCCCAGGCATAAAATTGTAAAATAGTTGCCAATCTGCCTTGATAGAGTGAATTTCCTCATCAGTAGTTCACTATCCTTTTGAAATCATAGGTCTAGGATATAGATATCGATTAGATATAGATATCCCATTGAAATCATAAGCCTAAGATATACACCTACATACATATACACACATGTGTGTACATATATACACATATATGTATCTATACATGCATATCCATCCACACACATCCACATTATGCCATTTCTTGTGCATAAATTCATCACTGGTAAGCCACTACAAAATGCTTTTCATATCCAGGTGTCTCTCCATTGCCTTTTGGATCACATGCATTTTGATTCTTTGGCAATACTCTCTCATTCTTAGTCAAAGAGAATCACTAGAAGAATATTAGGGTTAGAAGACAACATTTTGTGTCACAGATAGTTCAGTTCAATGACTCTCTGATATTTGTTTTTAGACGGCAGTATCCTCAGGTTTTACTCCTCGTTCCCTTCCTGCATTTCATACCCCCTATCACTATTATTCCTATGCCATACCTGCTATTTCCATGATAGCAGATAAATGTGGCTAATTTTATGCCTCTCCCTCCCTTCTTAATTTAAAGACATCTGATCATGGAGATTATGTAAAGTAATCTTGAGATGGAAAGACTTCTTGATCTGATTATCAAGATTCCAAGTAAATATACACACAGGTATTTCATTGCATATATGTACATGCGCTATATACATGCATCTAGTTATGCACGTGTATATACCTATAAGTAAATGCATATGTATATGTTTATGAGATTGTATCTATACAAATTTATACACACATGTGTATGTGCACACAAAATATAATATGCATGCACATATATACATGCATTACTGGTACATCTGTGTATATGTGTGAATACATAAATGCACAGTCTATAATATGTTGGAGATTATATATATATATATATGTATGTATATACCCATGTGTGTATAGATAGACAGACAGATATACTTTTTGCATGTATGCATGTATACTCATATATGTATATATGTATACTCATATATGTATACATGTATACTCATATATGTCCATGTGTATCTATATGTATGTAAACACAGTTATATAAATACACATACAGACATATGTACATACACATACACCCTTACTAAGAGGATTCTATCTTATTCTAGAGCCCATCAATCCTATATTTTAATCTTTTAATCAATAGGTCAGAAATACGAGTCCTTTTCTCAAACACTATTTTCTTAACCAGTTGTTCACTTCTAAAATCTACCTCTTTCTTCTGAAGCTCCCCTTTTCCATAAGAAGCAATGATGAAAACACTGTCTGTATCAGATGATGATTGGTTTTTAGCCAAATACCTGCCTAGGATAACAAATATAACAATAATGAGTTAGGAGGACCAGAGTAAGATACAATTTTAATATAAATGATGATGATGATGATGATGATGATGATGATAGCTAGCATTTATTTGAAGCTTTAAGGTTTGCAAAGTATTCTATATGTTATCTCATTTGGTGCTACAACAGTCCTATGAGATAGGTATTATTATTATTATGCCCATTTCACACATGAGGAAAATTAGGCTGAGAAAGGTTCAATGTCTTTCCCTGGGTCACCCAGCTAATAAAAGTCAGGGGTGGGATTTGAAGTCAACTCTTCTTGACTCCAAATCTAGTGCCCTCTACCATGCTGCCTAGCTACCACCTAACCTATATGTCAATATTTACAACTAAATATCTATTCTGATGTTTCTTGATGGTATTAAGATGAGCCAGAGTTCTTGAAAGATGTTCCTGAGAAGCCCAAACTCTGGGAGGTCCTGTCAAGCTCAAAAGGTTCTGAGTATTAACCCTATGGTGCCATCTGAGGACCAGCCCAACATCAGAAAGCTGACCACTACAGGATGATTTTTTTTTTCAATCACGCTAACTCAAGAAGACCATCTATCAAAATAGGGAAGGATCATTATCTATGAGTAGAAAAGTTACCCACCCAATTTAAGCCTCTACCTCTTGAGACCCAAGCCCTTTCCAACTGCCCCTTGGCTTTCACCCTTTGACTAAATCAATCTGCTATGAAGTTTTTTCTCTTTGGAGACAGACTTTGACAATGATACCCAACTTCCTTTAACCCTTCCTGTACAGGAGATGACTGATGACATGGATCATTACACAAATACTTACCACATCTTCACCAAAACTCCCGAGCGATTGCCAGAGCTACTGGAATCCAATGAGGTCATCAACTGGGATCATATTCTCACTATTCAAGGTAACTGCTTAGAAGCAAGTGGAATTTTTGAAAATCAGGTAATTTTTATCAAGCAACAACTGTATGAAAGGTGACATTGTAAGTATTTAGTATATAAAGATGAGAATGGCATGGTACCTACCCTCCAGGACCTTGCAATCTTGCAAGGAGATAAGACAGATGGACAAGTAACTAAAGCAAAAATTAGGATACTAGTGAGTTAGTGAGTACAGATATTATTATGTCTATTTTAGGACTAGGACCCCTCTCACCAAAGACATGAAATGGTTTCCCCAAGGTCACACACTTGGAAGTGGCAAAGCTGGGATTCAAACAAAGATTTATTTACTACATGTTTAGTGAAAATTCAACTATATTGTAACTTTCTTGAAAAAGGGTTCTGATAGAAAGATAACATAATGTCTTACCTGGACCCTACTCATGACTTTGTCATTGCCTCACTGTATAAGCCCAAATGACACTTCCTACTTCTAGGCTTTGGTATCACTTAAAATCAAGGGCATGGAGTAGATGATCTCTAAGATTCCACCATTGTTACTATTTTTTCATGTCAACTCTGAGCTTTCTCTTCTCCCCATCTTTGTACCTCAAGACCCCTTTACGTCACCCTTTCTTCTCTCATCTTTTATTCCAGTCTCCAAGGAAGAGGGAGTCCTTTTCCCCACCAAGATTAACCCTTATCCTTGTGCACTTGATGCCTTCTTTTTTCTTCTACTCTCAGAATTTGCCCCATCAATCATTTCTATTCTTTATTCTGTTTTCAGGTTCTGTTTGTCCAATGACTCCTTTTCGAACCTTCATAGATATGCACAGGTGTCTTCCACCCATAAAAATATTTTGAGTGACCTTGAACTTCTTCAGTCTAATGTCCTATATCTCATCCCTTTTGTAGCCAAACTCATAGAGTCATCTACTTTCATTTGTTCCATTTCCTTACCTCCCATTCTTTAACCACTTGCAATCTGGCTTCTGACCCAACCACTCAAATGAAACTGCTCTCACTAAAGCTACCAATGATCTCTTAATTACTAAATCTGATGCCCTATTTTCAGTCTGCATCCTACTTGGCATCCATAGCTTTCATCTGACCACTCTTAACCATTCTCTTCCCTTGCTTTCCCCTGATTTCCCCTAGTTTTCTTCCTACTTCTCTGACCAAGGTCAAGTTCTGACTTCGGCACTCAAATTGTCTTGTAAACTTGACCAAGTCGTTTAACTTCTATAGGTCTTCATTTCCTCCTTTTTTTCAAAATGATGTGACTAGATGGAATGGACTATAGAAGGTCCCTTCCCAAATCAACCATTGTTTTAGTTTATGATTCTATGTGCACAAGAAGGGTATAGACAAATATCTATGAGAAATACGAGAGAGTCAGAAAGTACTTATTAAGCACTTACTATGTGGAGGGCACTGCACTAAGCTCTGAAGATACAAATACAAGCAAAAAAGGAGAGGGAAGGGAAAAGAAAAGGTACCCATCTGGAGGCCAGGTGGAGAAATGTGGAGAGTCAAAAACAGAGCCAGGAGAGGAATGAGGAAGTGAGCGTGGCTAGACTGGCAACTTCTGGAATATAGTTGTTGCAGGAAGAACCCACTTATCAACCAAGAAATATATTAAGCACCTACTATGTGCAAATAACCAGACAGAAAACATTTCTAGCTTGGGGGAGGAGAGAAGGATAAGAAAGTAGAGAAAAATAAATCATTAAAGAAGGAGCAAAAGAATCAAGGCCTGGAGTGGATGAGTCAATTGCCAAAAGGTAAAGATGGATTAAATGTGAGAGAAAGTATAATCTAAACTAAACAGACTTTGTATCTTTGCTTATATTGAATTAGGGAGGAAAAAAACAGTTGAGGCACTTGTGATTCCTCCAGTTTGCCGGAGTGCCCTGTGTCCCGATGTCCTGACTTATCGTGTGATGGATTTAGAACCAGAGAGAATCAGAGGGCTTAATAGGATCACGGATTTAGGGCTAATGAGGATCTTAAAGACCTTCTAGTCCAACCTATTTGTTTTACAGAGGGGGAAACTGAGGCCCAGAGAGAGGAAGGGATTTGCCCATAATCCCTTTGCAAGGAAATAATAGAGCCGGGATTCTAACCCACAGTGTTTGATTAAAAATGCAATACTATTTACATTAAACTGTGCTCTTTCAGAAGATGCAGACAACTAAAGCAAGGTCTTTGTTGCCTTCCTGTCTTCCCAGGTTGCCAACAGGGTTTGAATGAAAAGATACAGAGTGTTGCAGCTTCAAAGTCAGTACGAATAGATTACTCCAAGAGGTTTCTTTATGCAACGGAAACTATTCTGCAGTTAAAGGCTTCTAATAAGAGAAGGTTTGGCAGATCCTATGAAGCAAGTATCCAAAATATCGGAGAGTTTAGAAGGTAGGAATATGTATAGCCTCCTGTTCTAATATCATATCCTGGATTATTGATAATCATAAGGTTAAATTTCATCATCTGGAGTTTGTGGCATGAAATGGAGCTTTACAAGAAATGAAGTACCCCTGGTCACCCACTAAGGGGCTCATCCCATGTCCACTTGTGGCATGGATGTAGGCCTGGGTGGCCATGGGGAACTCCCTCTCTGCCAAGTCCAACCATCTAGAGAGGCTAAGAATAGGACTGGCAAACGGCAGTGTACCTCAGATTAGTCCAACTAATTTTGGACAGTGCCATCACTAGAAACATGGTAAATAGTTGAATCCCACAAAATTGTCTCGGCCAATTTATTGCTGAATACTTTTGGTTGCTTTAATAGAATATAAGTAAGTGTGTGTGTGTGTGTGTGTGTGTGTGTGTGTGTGTGTGTGTGTGTATGTGTGTACTATCTAAATATAAAAATGCCCTGGTTCCCAGACCAGGAGAGAGAATGACCTCACATTTCACCACGAGCAGTCACTGCACTATTACAATCTAAGATTGCAGAAGACATGGTGGGGGAATGAGCAATTTCATCTAAACTGTCTGAAGCTTTTCAAGCTCCAGTTATTCACTTCCCTCTACCTGTCTGTCTTTTGAAGTCTTCCAATTATCTGAAGAAATTCCTTCTCTCTCATTCAGCTAGACAGTAGATTCAGTGTTCTCTCAGCTAATCTGGAGTCACATCTCCTTGTTCATTCATAGCCACAGCTTCAAAAGGCTGTCCCTCGGACACTGCCAAATTCATGTGGGCAGAAGCATTACTTAAGCCTCTTGAGATCAGAGATTGTTTTCATCTGTACCTCCATACCAACAACCATGTCTGACACATAGTAGGCACTTACTGATGTTGTTTTCAAAGCAACTCTTAATGTCTAAGTTGTGATTCATGTTGAAAAGAAAGTTTGACTAGGCGTTCAATAAATACTGTGTAGTGTTATCATGCTGGACACCGTAAGACATGCAAAAATAAACCAGAAATGGTTATTTCCTTAAGGAAACTTACAACCTAGTAAGACTGATGATTCTGCACCAATGAATATAATAGGGTAAAGTACGGTAAATTAATAACAAAAAAGCAAAGAACAATGAGATCAGGTAAGGAAAAGATAATTTCAGTTGAAGGATCCTGGATCTATAGCTGGAAGATTGAAACCTTAGGGGCCATTTAGTATGGCCCCTTAGTTTTGGATATGAAAAAAAAAACCAAGATCCAAAGAGTCACTTGAGCAAAGTCACACAACCAGTAAGTGAGAGAGTTAGGATTTTAATTCATGTCTTCTCATTACAAAATCAGTCCACTTTCCACTAGATCACATTGGGATCAGGGAAGGCTTTACAAAGCAGATGTCATTCAAATTGAGACTTAAAAGAATGGTAGGAAGTCAATGGAAGATGATAGGTCTGGAGAGAAAAGAGAGGGGGACATGGGAGTCAGAGAGAACGAACGTGGAGAAGGCCCAGCAGTGGGAAAATATGTGATGTGTTTGGGAAATAAGTGGTAATGCAAGTAATATTTTCCTTTGTTTTTTATTATTTTCTTTTGCAGTGAAATTCATAACTTCAAAGCCACCTTCCTGGATGTCTCCTATTCTGAGCTGGTGAACAACAAGTGGAAATTTGGAAAGAATGAGAAGAGCCTGAGATACATCAAAAGTTGTATCCAGAACTTTCCTGGATATTGTCTGCTCGATCCTGAGGGGAATCCCATAACCTGGACTGTGATGGAACCAACATGTGAATTGAGGATGGCCTATACCCTGGCAGAATATCAAGGCAGGGGCATGTTAGGGGAGATGATGAAGGCATATATGAAATATCTTCACCAGAATGAGATTCCTTTTTATCTTCACGTAGAAGATATGAATGAGAATTCCCACAAAGCAGTGAGGCACCTTAATTTCAATGCCATGCCTTGTGATTGGCATGAATGGAAAAGCATCCCAACTAGATTTCAACACTTGCCTCATTTCTAACTCAGGCTATGTCAGTCTTGAGTTGTGCACTCCATTTGTATTTTATTATATTTTATTTTGAGACCAGGGTGTCCCTATCTCATCCAGGCTAGAAATGCAACTGCTACTCACGGTCCCAGCCCCATGGCTGATACGCACAGAAGCCTTGACTTGCTCCATTTCCAACCTGGGTCAGTTTGTCCCTTCTTCAGCACCTTAGTAGCCTCCTGGTCTCAGAAGTCAAAAGTAGTTCGGAAGGCTGATCGGCTTTAGTGCTACTGCAGTTCAGAATTCCCAGGCTCAAGTGATTCACCAGCCTCAGCCTTTCCTAAACCCATGCCTAGCAGAGAATATAAGAAGTACTCCCAAGCCCAGCCTCCCCTCCTCTACTTTAAGCACAACCACTAGAGATAGCATCCATTGGGGTCAACTTTTGAATACGCAGGATGATTGCCCTCAATTTAGCAAGCCTATTTTTATGTAGTTCAATACTGCTCACACTTCAAACTAACTCCTAGCCACTTCTCTGGCTGGCTGCCATGCCTGGAATGCTCTCCCTTCCACTCTCCACCTCCTAACTTCCCTGGCTTCTCTTAGAAGTGAGTGCAAGTTTTATCTTCTACAGGAGATTTCTCCTAGTTCTCCCTCCATCCCCCGCCAGTGCCTTTTCCTCTTAGATTACCTTCTATTTGTTCTGCATACATTTTGCATTACATTTTATCTCCCCTATTTGAATTTTGATTTGTTTGTTGTTGTTTTTTTGGAAACTTTTGATCTTAACAAACAGCAAACAATATGGAAATGTCCACATCCATAGCATAATATGGATACAAAACTGCACGTCTCTATTTTGTACAACTTGCCTTACTTTTCAATGTGTAATAAATTCAAGATGTAATGTTCAAAGCTGTCTTGCTTCTTCGTGATTGTTCTTATGACCCTACCCTTCCTTCTGCTCTCTTCAGTACATTTTTTTAAAAGATCTTTCAATGATGCTCTTTCTTTTGCTTTTTTTCTTTTTGCTGCCCTAACCATGTTCTTCTTCTCATCTCACCCCGCCTCTAATTGTAAGAAAAGAAAAGAAAAACAAAACCATTATAATAAATATGCATGGTCAAGCAAAACGAATGATTACATTGGCTGTGTCTGAAAATCTGTGTCGTTTGGTATCTAGGGTCCATCACCTTTCTGTCAGGGGTGGAGTAGCACACCGTCAGCATCAGTTTTCTAGAATTATGGTTTATGCTATTGTGGTCTATGGTATTGCTCAGAGTTCTTTTACTTTTTGAAAGTTGTTTTTTCTTGACAATGCTGTTATTGTACGAATTGTTTTGGTTTTGCTTACCTCACTGAACATCAGTTCATACAGGTTTTCCCAGGTTTCTCTGGAGCCGACCATTTCATCAGTTCTGCAGGTCCAATGGTAGTCCATCACATTTATTTATAAGTCATAATTTGCTCATCTAATCTCCAATAGATGGCCAACACCTTGGTTTGTACTTCTTTGCCAACCCAAAAAGAGCTTCTATAAATGTTTTTGTATATATGGGTTCTTTTTCTTTCTTTGATATGTTTGGGGCATAATTGGTATTTTTATCAGTGGGTTAACGGTTCTACACAGTTAGGTGACTTTTTGGTCATGGTTCCAAATTGCTTCCCAAAATATCTAGACAAACTCAGAACTTCACCATGGCTCCAGCCTTAATGTGCCTGTTTTTAAAGATGGACACAACACAGAAAGAGAAGAGTGTCAGCGTAGGCAGTTAGAGACATTGGGAGTGAAGTCTTATAAGGGGCAACAGGTGGTCAGGCTTTCCCTAGAAGCAAAGTTAATATTGATTTAAGTATTAGTTCCAGAACAAGAACAGTACGGGAAGGTGAGGTAGGGTGAAAGAAGGTACATGCAGGAGTTGAGCAAATGGCAGGATGCCCACACTAGATGGGTTCAGGTGTCCTGGCAGATGCACACAGTGACTGACAGAAGTTCATAGAGAAATCCTTTGGAAAATAATAATAATAAGCATTTATAGGAAATGTTAAGGTTTGCAAAGCACTTTACATGTGTCATCTTTTTTATCCTCACAACAACTCTGTGATGGAGGACGTAGGTACTTTTATTATCCCCATTTTATAGATTAGGAAATTGAGGTTAAGAGAGGTTAGGTGACTTGCCCAATCATATAGTCAAGAAGTATCTGAGGCAGGATTTGAAATCAGGTCTTTTCAAGTCTAAGCACTCCCTCCACTGTGCCACCTAGCTGCCAAATGTATAGAAGCAGTTAAGTGTTTCAATGCACTTTCCTCAAAACAACCCTGTGAAGATATCAGGACACATACCATCACATCCATTTTAGAGATGAGCAACTGAGATTCGGAGTAGCAAAAGTGATTTATCCAAGGTCCCACAGTGACTGAATTGTGACTCTATTTTGTCATGATGCCAAAATAAACTATTAGGTGAGACAGATAACATTTCAGCAGATCAGATGGGAAAGCAAGAGAGGCAGATGTTGCCACACCCATTTTGAGACCACAGAGGTTGGCAGTGAGGAACCATTTTTCATGGACAATAGGTTCTCTGCAAAAGCAACACCAGATGCTGCCACCCTAACTCACTTGTCCCCTCCAAGGCATCCAATTTCTACCCTGATCATCAGAGCCAGCAACGGAGGTTATCCTTTGGCTGGCATTCTGTCGCTCCCCGGGATAGGACAGGAGCACCTGTTTACAGTCTAATGGCAACCCCTCTAGTGGGCATGAATGTCACTATGTGACTAGCCATCAGCCTTAGCATTTCATGAGGATTGTCAACTAAGGCACAGACAGGGCTGTTGGTGAGCTTAATACCCCACTAAACAAATCACAGTTCTTAGTAGTGCTAAAATAACTATTACTACTGTTGTTGTGGTTGTTAATGAGGAAACTGAGGTCCAAATCAAATGAGATGTTTGAAGCACTTGTAAATCTTAAAGTGCTATAGAAATACTTGCTGCTGCTCCTGCTACTACTACTACTACTACTACTGCTACTATTACTACTACTACTTCTAGTACTACTACTACTACTACTATTTTGTTATCATTCTAATTGACAAGGCATCAGAGCTAGGGTTAGAGAGATATCTTGAGAGATTTCCTTCAATTCCCTCAGTCAATTCCCTCCAGACAGTTTTTCCCAAGTGATTATTCCCTAATGGAGGGCAGCTAGGTGGTACAGTGGATAGAAAGCTGGGCCTGGAATCAGGAACACTGTGTGCATCTTTCTGAGTTCAAATCCAGCCTCACACACTTACTACCTGTGTGACCCTGGGCAAGCCACTTAACTCTGTTTGCCTGAGTTTCCTCATCTGTAAAATGAGCTGAAAACCACTCCAGTATCCTTAAAAAGAAAATCTCAGAAGGGGTTATGAAGAATCAGACATGACTGAAAAATAACTAAACAACAACTCCATAATGGCCCTTTATTCTTTGGGAATCCTTCCATAAATTTTTAACATATAGTTGGAGCACTTGAAATTTTGGGAAGAGTGACTAAAATATCCACTCTTTAAATCTAGAAATTTTCTAGGCCCACACCCTTGTTAAAAGAAATCCTTGCTCAGGCCTTCCCCAATTAAATGAAGCAAACTCAGGAAGTGAAAGTTAAAAGGAGTTTGTTCATGCCACGGCAAAGAAGCATATCTGCTCTGGGCCAAAAGGCCAAAGACAAAAAGAAAGGCTCCAGGAACATCAAAATATTGATAGCAGCACTTTTTATGGTAGTGAAAAACAAGAAACAAAGTATATGCCCATTGATCAGGGAATGGGGAAACAAAAAGTAGTACATGAATGTCATGGCATTCTATGGAACTGAATGAAAGTCATGGAATACGTGGAGCAGAACTGTAAGAAATGATAAATATGATGAATTCAGAGGATTGTGGGAAGAGGTGCCGCCATGCTTCAGGGGCCTTCTTTGTCCACTCCTGTAGTCCCTTTCTTCCATTTGGCGAGCTCCTCCAGAAATCTCCATTTTGAGGAAGGCCCAGAGCAGACATGCTTCATTCTTTGGACTTCACCACCATAACCCTTCCTGAGTATCTTTCCTTCTTGTCACCTCTTTTCAGCTCCTTTTTATGTATTCTTTTTCCCCTAAAATGTAAGCTTCTTGAGGGCAGAGACTATCTATTTTTTTTGCAATTGTATCTACTTCACACATAGCCTGGCTCATAGTAAATAAATGCATGTTGATTTGCCTTGCCTTGACTTTCCTGGTCTCCCACCATCATCACTCCCTTCCCAGTGTCCTCCCTTCAGATTGCTTTCAATCTACTCTTTCTATATCTTGTATGTACATGATTATTTACATGTTTTTCCCCCATTAGAACATGAGTTCTTCAAGAGTAGAAGCTCCAGGTTGCCTGAAGCCAAGCAACTCCTACCAGGAAACTCATAGGTTCCTCAGGGACCCTCCTCCTTGTCCACCAAAGCACCCTTCTCAATGGCCTCCCCACCTTTAATTCAGGTGCTGGACACTACAACCTCCCAGCACTCCCAGTCCTTAGGCCCTCCCACACAAGGAGCAGTTCCTGTTTTCTCCCTACTCCCCAAATCCCTGACTCAACCACCTCTACAGCCAGGCTCTGCAGCTGTGGGGAGAGGGGAAAAGGGGATAGATAGGTCAGGGCAGTATGAGGTAAGAAGCTACCCAGCCTCTGCACTTGGTAAGCCCAACCTTCTATCAATAATTTTTATATGTGATGATTTGAAAATGCAATTAATGTCATCTGAAGTTTGATGTTCATGTTATTATTGCATTTCTAAATCATATTGTAAAATTCTCTTATATTATAAAATTTGAGTGACCTTTGTGAGTCAGAAATGATGTTGGGCAAAACAATTTTTAATCTGAATTTTGTTGAAACTAAAAGACAGTGGGAAAAAAATGTTTGCTTATTGCAACTCCATAAGAGTAAAAACAATTGTATCTAGCCCTAAGCTGTGATTGGTAAGACTTGCCATTTGAGGTAAAAGCCCTTGGAACTGCATTGATTTTATTTTGAGTTCGAATCTAGGTATGGTGGTCTGCATTAAATCAGTATTTGAGAGAAATGCCACAAGCCTACTCAGAGGGAATATGATCCTGCTACAGATGGAGGTTTCCAGTCTTTCTTTGGATCATTACAATCTAAATGCACAGGGGGTAGTTCTCCATGGCAACACAAAACCAGAAAAGGGCAGTCCCCTTACTGAGGCTCAAAGGTGACATTAAGGAAGAGGGAAATGGGAAAACTTACCACATACTGATTCTATTCCATTTGATTAAACATTAACTCGATAAATGCCTGAAGTGACTTTCTCACTGACCAAGAACCACGAGGGGTTGGGTACCTCCCAGTAAAACATGCTTCTAGTAGATTTGCTTCTCCAGTTCAGGAGATCCCCTTCTCTCTTAAACATCTCTGACAAAATAGATCTTAATACAATTGTAGTTTACTATTACAATAACCAGGTTAGGTAGTTAGAGCCAACTCATACCTTAATAACCCTGACATGAACATCACTAGGCCAGAGAAATTACATTTTTAGGTTGGCAAATTCAAATAAGAACTGAAAAATTTGAAAATTAGGAACCCAAATTTCATATGTGGTGTATATACTCACCTAATCTTTTGACAACTTTTTATTAAAACCAACTGAAAAAATATTACTCTGGCTATTTTCTTTTCTAGCTATTTTCTTCTATCTGCTCATCAATCCCCTAGGAAAATAAAATTTTGCTGGGGAATTATTAATGGAACACTTTTTTTAACCCCAAGATGACTGCTGATACACAACTAACTCATTTAAAAGTTGCCAGAATAATTGTAATGATCAAAAAAAGTTCTGAGATAGGATGTATAAATAGATTGAGTAGTCAATTTCAAGACAGTGCAGACTGAATAAGTTATTTATGCTATAACATGTTTGCCTTTTAAGACACGCTCAACATTCTGGTGGTAATAATAAATCCAAATAAAATTAGGTTTTCCCATTTAGGTAGCACTAGGTATTCTAACATCCTTTTCTTTAAACCAAAACTAAAGGTCTTTCTGTTTTAAGCTTAATAATTAATAGAATAACAGTTTGGTCCCATAAACTTCCATCAAT